TTACTTTTTGTCTTTTTTATGTCCATCTAACGTTCATGTTTTCAATTTTTATAGAGTTAGACACATAGATGGACATATTATTTTTGTATCGACAAACTGATTGTCTTTTTGGTCAGTCAATCTAACTTGTCTATCGTCGTTTTCAATCTTCTTAGTTAAAAAAAATTTCGGGCCTAAGTCCCTGGTGATGATAGAAAATGTCATAGTTGTGATGATAGAAAATGTCATAGTTTTGAATGAGCATTGGACTAGTAAATATTTTAACTTAAATCCTTTTGAACAATCTAATTTATTGACTCAAACTTCATATATATATATGTATAGCTGATGAGCTGCTGAGACTCACAAATATCTCCAATGGAAATTCAGTTCCCTTTTTCCCTCACCACTTCTTTATCCCTCTTGTTATTCCTATTCTTGTTAATTAAGGAATGCACAAGATTGAAAAATCGAAATGCTACTGAAAAATTGCCCCCGGGACCATGGAAACTCCCTTTTATCGGAAACTTGCACCAACTTGTAGGCTCGTTACCACATCGTTCTCTCCAGAAATTAGCGGAAAAATATGGACCAATCATGCGTTTGCAGGTTGGTGAAATCTCTACTATTGTTATATCGTCTCCTCGTTTAGCAGAAGAAGCCATGAAAAAGAATGGTGTGGCCTTCGCAGACAGGCCGGAGGTCCTCATGGCTAAGATCATCTTTTACAACTCTGTCGACCTTGGTTCTTCTAAGTACGGTGATTATTGGAGACAGATGCGTAAACTATTCATGTTGGAACTTCTAAGCTCGAAAAAAGTTCATTCATTTAATGCACTTATGGCAGAAGAGGTTTCTCGTGTCCTTAGCTATATTCGATCTTCAGAAGGATTACCAATCAATCTGTCTGAAAAAGTTGCATCTGTATCAAGTACCATAACTTGCAGGGCTGTAGTTGGTCGAAGATGTAAGAACCAAGAATCCATAACAAGATTGGCTAAAGAAACTGCATCATTTGCTGGAGTATTTAATGTTGGAGATATCTTCCCTTCTTTATATTTTCTTGATTCCATCTTGGGATCTAAATCAAAATTAGTTAAGATGCACAAGAAGATTGACAATCTCTTAGAGGACATAGTCCGGGAGCATGAAGAAGATCGATTGAACTCAAAAGGCGAGTCATCTGAAGAAGATATACTCGACCTTTTCTTACGCTTCAAGGAGGAGGGTGAATTTCAGATTGTCATTACCAGGGACATCATCAAAGCTAATATTTTCGTAAGTAGATCTACTAGCTAGCTATAAAATCTTTGATGTCGTCATGTCCTTCATTGTGCAAACCTTAAACTTGACCAGAGTTCTAACACAAACATGATCACAATCACAATGACAAAAGTCTAAAAATTCGTGTTTCTTTGTCTGTTCAACAATTTTTTGAACGATTGTCTAAACATTCCTACGTTTGATTCATTGAGCAAACATTTCATATCATAATCGATTTGAAAATTAAGAAAACATTATATAAAACAATCAAACAACTTGTTCAACCCCATTCTAGATTGTTATAGACTAGATCTAGACCTCGTCAACAAAGCAAACAACTTTGTAGGATATTTCTTATTTCTTCCTTTTGCTATCTTCTTGTCTTCTTTTCCACAAGAAGTGCAATTTACCTAAAAGAACTTGGGCTTGAATGAACAGGAGCTGTTCACTGCTGGAACTGATACTTCTGCGACGGTGATCGAATGGGCAATGGCAGAAATGATGAAGAATCCAAGAGTGATGGAAAAGGCACAAGCAGAAGTGAGACAAGCTTTTAAGGGAAAGGAAAAAATCTCTGATTCCGATATTCGGAAACTGAATTACCTCAATATGGTGATCAAAGAAACACTAAGGTTGCACCCTCCTCTTCCACTATTAGGTGCTAGAAGATGCAGGGAAAAATGCGAGATTGGTGGATACCATATACCGGTCAATACCATAGCTATCATAAATGGTTGGTCTATTGGAAGGGATCCCAAATACTGGAAAAATCCTGAGAGTTTTGAACCTGAGAGATTCAGCGACGGTTCCATTAATTACACAGGAAATCACTATGAGTATTTACCATTTGGGGCCGGGAGGAGGATTTGTCCTGGCATAAACTTTGGCGTAGCCACTGTCGAGCTAGTATTGGCTCAACTCCTCTACCACTTTGACTGGAAACTTCCCCATGGCTTAAGTCCTGAAGAATTAGACATGACTGAAAATTTTGGTGCAATTGCTGGGAGAAAAAACAGTTTGTACCTGATTCCAAAGTCTTACATTCCATTAGATTGATGGATGAAGCCAACGTGAAAAATATAATAAGGACCATGATCGTTGTTCTGGGCCTCATGGGGGGCAGCACTTGGTGCCCCTGGTGGTACAATCAGTTTAATCCATATAATAATATCTGTCCAATGTATAAAACGTGTACTTTGATTTCAACCTTGCTTTTGTGATTTCTGTCTCCAGTATTTGTAGTCCTATGTATTTGTCAGTTTTCCCTCTATATATATGTTAAACAAGAATAATTACTTTCGATATTACTTTTCACGATTATTACTTTCAACTCGAAACTACTTCTTACCTAATTATTTGTTGGAAAATCAAGTACTGAGAGACACTAATGAAAGAAAAGAAAAGCAGCATGGGGTTCATGTAGCATGTTACAACATGAATTATATATGCATTCGGATTAATACTAATTTATTGGGCAAATCAGGTAGAGCCAAAAGCGATAAATTACAAGAAGGAAGAACAAAATAAAATTCGTTGAATCTTCATAAGAATGTTGAGTACTTTACAATTAAGACGGTTGACTAATGTAATAATATCGAAAATTGATTTTTCATCAATAAATTCTTAATTCTATAAAATACCGACTTCGAGCAAAAGAATTAGAAATCTCCTATTCTTTTAATGATTTTCCAATAATCAATCAAGATACAGGGCAACCCAAACTCTTGTTTAAATAATAAAATTCCTACTAAAAGACTAAAATGACCAAATAACTGCTGAGTCTTAAATCTAATAACAAAATAGAAAATACTTAAATAAAGGAATTATATGAAAAGCTTGAATCATCCCAATTCCACACCGCGCTAAAATCTAGTTATCTTCTTTCAATCGACTAGCTGCCAGACTATAACATCTAGATCTTCCAAACTATTATCCAATTACAGCTACACAAGTGTGTGACCACCTTTGTAGGACTGGGACAACTAGAACTACGAATTTCAACTAAAAGAAAATATAGTTTGTATTTTTTCCACTCTGTGTTGGTTTTTATAGGCTATCAAAACAAAAGAATTTGAATTCAAAAAAGTTGGGCGGACTTTTGAATTTTCATGAGATGTTCATTCCCTTTGATATTTAGGGAAGTTAGTTACTTGGAAAAACTGCGAGTTTTCTCATGCAGGCATCTCTACAAGTTCAAGGATGAATCATATTTTTAACCATGTAGCTCGTGAATATTATAGAATTTTTTGGAAATTACATAGAACTAGAATTTTTTAGTTATCATTTCAAAAATCTAATTTAAAGTTTGGTTATACAAAAATCAGATGATAATTGAATATTAATATTAAAAATGTAAAATTAAATTAATCTATATATCCACCTACGTCTATCCACCCAAGTCTATCCACCCCACCAAATTTCATCTGAGACCCTAATTAATCTATTACAATGCTTTGGTCTATAGCCAAAATAGAAGCATTTGTTTCCATAATGGCAAAAGTTAATACCAAAATTCCATATCCCATTGATGAGGCTCTCTCTCCCTCCCTCCCTCCTTAAAATCATTTTTAACGATTTAGATGTGATCCTCACTTTAAGTTAAAAACAATATCTTTATAAATTTTGTTAGAATTGGGTTGTGAGCCGAATTCTTATTGAGTATTTGATTGGAAATATTGTTTGAGGAGTATTGAGAATTTGTAGTAGACTTGAAGATGTCTTAAAGGAGTTCGAGGTGAATTTGACTTATATTTCATCTCAAATTCTTCATTATTGGTTTTACTCATTGTATTAATTGACCAATTGTCCAATTAGTTATTGGCCC